AGAACTGTTTGCACAGCTGGCTAGATAAGGAAATGGGGATCTCTTGGGCTTGGTTTTGCCTTGTAGCCTCTGGGGAACAAGAGGAGTGCTGGGTCTGGTAGGTAAGGAGAGCTCCAAGCACAAGCGCTCTGAGCGCCCCTCCCTCCCCCCGCCCCCCCAGGTGGGAACATTGTAAATAAAAACCTGTTTCTTCCAGCATTAATTGCTGGGTCGTTCACCAAGGCGCCACGTGGACAGCCGGTCTGCTTGGTTAGGACACTGTTTTAAAGTCCTTTCTGCTAATGTTAACATCATGTCAGTCAGTTCTGGTTCTGTTTTGATTGATTGATTACTCTCCTGAATGTGGGTCCTGTTTTGCTGCCTCTTGGCATGGCTGGCATTCTTTGACTGGATGGCAGACATTGTCAAAGTGTCCCTTCTGGAGCACTGGGTATTTTGGTCATTTTTACACAACTTCTTGAATTTCGTCATGGGGCCCAGTGAAGTGACTTATCTACAGTTTGATCCCTTTGGAGCTTGCTTTCATGATTTGTTTTATGTTTTTATTTTTAGGTAGGTCCGCCTAGGGCTGATCTTTCCCACTACTGAGACATCCTTGCAAAGTATGGTTCCCAATGGCCCATGAATTCTGAGCTGTCCAGTGTCCGTGGCGGGCGCGAGTAGGATTTGCTGTGTGATTTCAGCCTATAGAGGAGACTTGGGCCATAGAGGAGAAGGTCAGGGGAGTCCTGGATGTAAAGATAAGTGCGCAGCGTGACCGGGAGGCAGCAAAGGAGGCCTGGTTTGTAGTGGTGAGTGGGCTTCAGGTAGTGATTGAACTCCAGCCCTTGGTTTTGGGGAATGGAAAAATGCAGCTTGGCACCCGAAAACTAACGGATCGTTTGCACCAGGTTTCAACCTGGGGACTTTGGCCATGTAAGGCAGCCACGAGAACCACTACGCTGCGGAAACGGGGCAAACGCTCCTGTGCCCGACCCAGAGGAGTGAAAACCTTTACAGACTGCCGCGCCTATTCTGGCCATCGACGTTTTGAACTGAAGAAGGCCCTGGACGGGCCCTCGTGCCAGGCTACCGCGGCTCCAGGAAACCCTGGCTTGCGGTTTCGCGACCCCCGTCCCAGCCCCCGAGCCCGGACCCTGGAGGCCCCACGGTTTGGCTTCGGGATCCCGCATCAAACGCGGGTTTCCAGTTCCTCACCGCAGCGCCCAGGTGCAAGAGTGGTCCCCAAAGACGCCTCCGCTCCGGGCAGCTTCGTTGCACCTGAGCCCCAGGCTCCCCGCACCGCCCAGCAGTGTGGATTCCGTCCCTCTGGCGCAGCGGAGCCGCCCGCCGGGCAGTCAGCGCTCTTGTCTCCTGACCGAAGACAGGTTCCCCGAATGCACCCAGGAACCATAGGACCCGCGGGAGCCGCTGTCCCCGCCCTCCCTCCCCTCTCCTCGCGTGCGCCCGGCCCGCGCGCTCCTCCCGCACCAGCCCTTTCCTCTCAGCGCTTCTGCGGTGTCCTCGCGGCAAGAGAGGGTGTCTCTAGAATCCCCTGGCCAAAACGGGCTCCTTGGGTCCCCGCCGGGGCTGCTCTAAAGCCATTGACAGAGGCCTGTGACCATGACCTCTAACAGGTGCAGGAAAATCCAGGCCAGGGAAGGGGGGGCGGGGAGCGGTGGATGGAAGGCGAGCTCAAGAAACCTCTCCAAAGGGCACGGAGCGGAGCAGAAGACTGGCGCAGTCCTGACCCGGGTGGGCGGATCACCTGACCCTCTTCGCTTCAGAGGCCTTTATTTCCACCTGGCATTTCGGAGTCTGAGGCATGGGTAGGCTGCCCCGGAGCAGGTGTCTCTTGGGCTCTGCTGCCAGACCTGAACAGGCCAGTGGTGACGTTTGGTGTGACCACACCCATCTTCGCAGATGCCATTAAGAACCTGGAAGATGGTGAAGACAAAAACCCTAGAAGATAGATTTTTAAATTTGTTCTCTCTCTGTCTTCCACGCGGGAGTGTGTGTGAGACCACAGTGCGATATTTCATTTTCCTTGAATTTAGAGAGAGAGGAAGGGAGAGGAAACATCAATTTGTTGTTCCGCTTACTGAAGCCTTCACTGGTTGGTGCCGACGGCGCTCTGACCAACCGAGCTGCCAGGCCAGGGCCTACGGTATCATTTTGCTTGGGCTGTACTTTAGCACAGCCACTCTAATAGTTGGTAGTTTCCATAAAGTTAAAAATACACCTACCTTGTTACCTGGTAGTATTACTGCTATTTACTTCCCCATGTGTACATCCTGAAAGGGCTTTAAAAAAAATTATGGCAATGTCATTTGTACTAGGGAAAAGCTGGATAAAACCCAAATGTCCATCAACAGAAGTGATATACCAACTGTTGTGTATTCACCTAGTAGATTAATACTCCCCCCATGAAAACACCACCTGTCTTTCTCCTCCTCCTCTTCCTTCTTTCTTCCTCTCCTATTCCTCCTCCTCCTCTTCCTTCCATTTCTTTTTACTTAAAGTGGTGCTGTGTTCTCTGACTCCTAGCAGCTGCCCTCTTCCCAGCTTCGCAGTCTCTGTCCCTTGCCAAGAACTGGCAGAGCTCCCTGGGAAGGGACAGAATTAATTGTATTGCAATGAGCTTCTCTCTGTCTTTGAAGCTGATCTAGAGGGCCCTAGCTTCACTGATAGCTGTCCAAAGACTTCACACAGAACTCCTTGAACTCAGATTTTCTCTTGTTGTTTTTAGGGTTAATGCTGTTTTGCGACAAATACTCCATCAAGCGATAACATGGATATTGCCCCCCAAACAGTATGCTCAGCAAAAGATGCCTATTAAAAATGTTGTTGAACACCTAAAACATATCTATTTTAAGGTACCCATGTGAGTCCTGTGTGCTTCCATTTTAGAATGGAAGGAGGGTGCCCTCTTAGGAATATTTTAATGAAAGAGTTCCTAGGTGGATAGGAATGTTCGATACATACACTCCTCTGGCTGATACTTACAATGGTGTATACATTTATCATGTTTCACTGTATAATTTTTATATTTGCATGTTTGACATCGAAATAACATTTATTATTTTTATGGACTTATTTTAATAATCCGTTATTGGAGATTTCACTTCAGATATGACAAACTTGATCACTTGTTGATTATTGTGTAATAGAGTTAAGATAGCCTTTGAGTGATTTTTAACTCTCTTGTCAACTAAAAACTCCCTAGCTGTGGTTTTATTCAATAAAGGAAAGCCAGTTCTGGATGATTTGATCCTGTTGTTGAATGACATTTGTGATCAGTTGTATGACAACATAGCTGCACTGGAAGATGTAAGCAAAGCGTTCTTTAGAAACATAAAACGGGTACGCAATGTGAGCTCTGTCTAGGTAGTTGTTTTAATTTCATTGGAGGAAATGTCACTTCCTCACTATCAGAATTTTAGAGACATCAGTTTAGCGATTTATCCTTCAATGATTCAGGGAAAACAATTTTTTTTTATAATAGTCTTTCATCTTTTCTGTGAGCTTATAATTGCTTGAGGAATTTGATGGTGTACTTGAGCTTTATCCACTTTTAGAAAAAAAACACATTGCACCTTCTTTATAATCAGATTTGTCTTCAAATCTCTGAAAGTATATTGTAAAGTCTCTAAAATGTTTTTGAAGCCCTGTTGCAAATTTTGAGGAACTTTCTCATATGGGCGGATCACCTAAGTTGGGGTGATCCTTGAAGTACTTTAACTGCAAGATGAACGTGAAAAAAGTGTTGGCAGACAGGCAAGCGTGGAAGGGAGCAGCAGGGCAAAATTCGCTTCGGAGCTTGACTGACCAGAGAAAAAGGTCCCCACTCAGCCCACAGGGCGCGCCTGCCCTCTGGGCACACGGACCCAGGCGGGGGGAGAGAGACAAACCAAGTCCCTTACATGAACCTCCGATCATTTGCACGGGGCAGCAGTGAAGGTGATCGCCCATCACTTTTTAGATCTCATTGTTTCCACCGCAGCAAGTTCAGGGCACGGGTTCTCAGGTCGTTCTCAGAGAAGAAACCCCCCAAGATGAGCCCTAGCAGGGCCTCCGGCAGAGGAGGTCCTCCCAGAGGGACTCCATCAGATTCCTGGGCTCTCGGAGAGAGACACACACACAGACAACACAGAGACAGGGCAGGGGTAGGCCCCGGCGGGGAGGGGTCAGAGATGACGGGAAGACTTGGATCCGTCAGTGAGTCACACGTAGCCCTGAGTTGGAGTAACACCTACATCTGTCATCATTTTTTATTAGCAAAACCAGACACAACCCTTTTTTCCTCCAGGAAGACTTCCTTGATTGACAGTCACCCAAGTTGCACTCATTGCCCTTCCCCTTAACAGGCTGGATTCTGGCTTTGCCCTTGGGCTCTGACTCAGCACAAAACCCACCCCCAGTCTGCTCCCACACGGGCCCTGACGCTGCCACCCCAGGTCAGCCACTAGCATCATCTTGGCGCCCGTCCTGGCCCCTCCCAGGCCGCTCTGCCTCTCCGCGCTGGCCCTTGGGGCTCTCATCCAGAGCCAGGAGACCTCCAAAACCAGGGTCCACCTAGGGTGTGCCTCTGCCCTCCTGTCCTGTCCCATCACATCTGTGTAGTGACTGAGTGGTCAAAACATCACGTGTCAGAGGGTCAGCTCCCCAACAGCAGAGACGCCTCCCTGTCAGACTGATGCTGAGAGCAGGGGCTGTTCACCCCTCACACCGGGGCGCCTGGAGGCAGGGGCTGTGTCTCTCACCCAACAGTGGTGGTCCCCTCCTTGGGGGATCCGAACCTCCCGTCACGGATCCATCGCTGGCACCCTAACCGTGAACGGAGCAATGTCAGGAAGTGCTTTATTCTCTTCCCTCCCAGGTGTCCTTCCCACAGGCACGCACATGCGTGTGCACACACATCAGGCACACGCAGACACACGTGGCCGAGCTCCACGCCGCCGCCCACAGCTGGGTCACGTGGCTCTCGGGCAGGCCCCCGTGGGGGGCGTGCCGTGCTCCGTCTAGTAGAGGCTGTGCTGGGTGCAGTAGTGGGCGCACAGCTGCCGGTGGTACTGCAGGTGGTAGTCCCTCAGCAGCTTGCCCAGGATGTACAGGAACTCGTCAAAGCAGATCTGGTTGTCCTTGTCCTTGTCCGCTGCCCGGAACAGCTCGGTGACGAAGTAGGGCTCCTTCCGGCCCTGAGGAGGGGGCGGAGGGTCAGCCAGCACCCAGGCACTTGTCCCGAGCAGCTGGCCAGGCTCTCCACCTCCCGCTGGTGAAGGACCGGGGCAGGGGAACTGTGTGTGGCCCTGCCTGCCAGAGTCTTGCCGGAAACAGCCCCTCCTCACTCAGTGACCAGGAGTCCCCATGTGCTGCAGAGTCGGGCAGAAGGGGCAAACGGGTGCCGGGCACCTGGACCTGGGCTGCATGGGGCAGACAGAAGGCGCAGACGGGGCACTGCCTGCTGGCCGGCCACCTACAGTGGCCGAGCAGGGCCGAGCGCCTGGTCCTCCGCTGCCGGCTGTGTAAGTCTGTCTGCCCTGATGGACTACAGGTTCCCCTGCGGGGGCACCCCCGCCTGGGACTCTGCAGCGGGAGTTGGCCAAGGCCGAGCCCCCTGGGAAGCCTCCCGTCTGCACCTCCGGCACCGCTGCAGGGCCAGCCCCAGTGGCGTCAGGATCTGCATGGGGTGACATCTGCCCAGCAATTGTTTATGACAACTGGCCCGTGTCCTAAGGAAATGCAGAACGAGGGAAAAGGCAATGGAACTGTCTGGGATGTCTCAGAACAGGCGGCCCTCAGGGCTAAGGACTGGGGACAGCGAAGGAGAGGAAAGGGGCATGTGAGGTGGAAGGGATAGCGGGGAAGCGAGGCAGGGTAAAGACGCAACGAAGAGACAGAAGAGAAGATGAGGGAGCCCAGGGCAGGGGCAGTGAAGCAGGTTTCAGCAGGATTGGGTTGGTGGCGGGGAGCCCCGTGGACAGCCCTCAGAAAGCCACGGGGGGAAGGATGTTGTTGCATCTGTAAGAAGCTGGGGGCCTGGAGAACCGCCCCGGGCCCTGGGGGCCAGTTGGCACCTTCTGTCTCTCCCCACTGCCCACCACCTGCTACCCGAGGGTCCCCAACATTTCAGTCAGGGCCACTGGAGTCCTCTGGGCATCCCCAGGGCATGGCACGGAGGACAGACACTCCAGCTGGCCTTGCAGTCCCTGGGGAGCCCAGAAATCACACAGCAGGGCCTGCTGGCAGAGAAGGTTCCAGGGCCTGAAGGCAGCGAAGTTCCCCAGGCCTGCGCAGGGTGTCTGGGCAGCCTAGATTCGGGGCTGGCCCCCAGGCTGGTCTGAGACCCCGTCAGCCTGGGGACAAGAGGGAGAAGGGAAGCTACATTTCCTCTCCGCCCACACCTACTCCCTCCTGGCTTCCCTCTAACCCAGCCATCCTCCCCAGATGTGGGGGCAGGGGCGGTTTGTGCCAGACCCAGGAAAGGGGGCTGCATTCAAAGGGCAGGTCACCGCGGGCCCTTTGAATGCGGGCGGTGACTGAAAGGCCTAGGGGCAGAGAGGAGGTTTAGGACATGTTTTCGCAGGAAGCTAACAAACAGAGGCGCGCACAGCTTTGGGCTTCGGATTAGTGATATCTGGGCCGGAGTGGGGCCAGGCAGGAAGCTCCTGGAGGTTCAGCTGCCAGGGCCCACCCTCCCTGGGCCATGGGCCCTGCCCCCCCCCCCCCCCCCGTTCAAACCCCCCCTGGGAGACGGCCGCCTGTACCCACACCCTCCTTCCACCCCACAACCAGCCCTCTCCTTCATCCCGCCTGACCCCAGGCCCACGCACCAAGCTCTGCATGAAGCGGGGCACGTTGTCCATGAGCAGGGCCTTCAGCTCCTCCAGGGACAGGGTCTCCACGTCCCCCCTCCCGGGCCGCGTACTGGTGGTAGCTGTGGATGATTTGGAAGAGGGATTCCTCCACTGGTGTGTCCGTCATGGCGGCTGGGACCCTCTGACGGCAGAGGGACTGGGGCCAACTGTGGAGACGCGGGTGCGGAGCAGCTGGGAACAGTGGAGCATCTGCGGGGAGAGGGCAGCAAACACCGCCTGTGGGCCAGCTCCCTGCAAGGGCCCTTCCCCCAGGAGGCTTCTGCCTTTTCCTTCCCGCCCACCTCGTGTCAGGGCCCCTCCCTGCCCGTCTTCGGTGCCTCCAATTATGGCAGCCAGTGCTGTGACTCCTCACAGGCTCCTCATCAACACAACTGAGCCTTAATTGCATTCCTGAGACGATATCGCAGAGCACATGATTCCTAACATTAACTCAACCACTTTCAGGGACCCACCTTCCCTCAGAGCCTGAACCGAAGCACCTCAGATGCACACGAGGTCACGAGGTTGTCCACCCCCTGCCTCGGCGCTCATCCTCCCAGCTCCAGGGCCTGGGTGGGGTCTGACACACAACTTAAATACACCTTCCTTCGATGCCCTCCCTCAATCAGTGAACCCCATACTCCAAGGTCATGAAGCGTTCATTCATCTGACAGGTGTTTCCCGAGGCCCTACAGCGTGCCAGGACTCTCTAGGCAAAATGAGTAAGCCCGCAGCCAGCTCACAGGGTGGGGACGAGTGGAGGGGACAGTCGGTCACACACCGTGAATACTACTAACTTAGTGGCGTGAACAGGGTACCCTGGGCACACAGGAAGGAACACCTTCTGCCTGGAGAGTTGAGGAAGACTTCCTTAGGAGGCGACATTTTTAGTGGGACTTGAAGAAAAGATTTTGTTGCGAGGAGGAGCATGGAGAACCAGACAGAGAACAGCAGGGTCAAAGGCTTGGTGGTATGAGGCGGTGGGGGGTGGGGAGGCTGCTAGGGGGAAGGCGTCCACGGGCCCCGTGAGGCGCAGTCAGCAGAAGCAGGGCTGGAGAGGAGGATGGAGACCAATGCAAAGGGCCCCCTGTGCCAAGCCAGAGCTGCAGCTTTCTCCTGCGTGCAGGATTTCAGAGGTTTGGGTGGTGGGTGGGAGGCGAGGGACCAGTGATAGGGACAGCGTTACTATAAGGAAATAATCGACTGCAATGTGGAAGTGCCTCTACTCTAAAAGAGGCCAGAGGTGTAGACTTGGCCTTTGAGCAGAGGGTGAACTGGCTTCCCCAAACTGAAGCCTTCTGCCGGCCAATCCCTTCCACGCGCTGCGGGGCATCTGCCCAGGGAGGGGGTCACACGGGCTGGTGAGCAAATCTCCCACAAGGCGGCGCCAAAGGACAAGTAATTGAAACAGAGGGTCCTTCTCCCTGTCCCATGAAGGTTTGAGAGAAATAACCTAAATATTTAAGCCAAACATTTTCCATTTTACAGGGTGAGGCTTCATCTACCCAACATATGGATGTCCTCAGCAAATGAGTGGTTCATCGAGGTAGTAAAGTAAAAAAAAAAAAAAAAAAATTCTCTGACTGGAGTCAGGCTCCAGTAAAGAGTAAGGCTCAGTTGGTCGGTCCTGGTCCCAAGCAGGAGAGGGAGGGCAGCGAGCACCTCCTGTGGTCCAGCTCCTAGCAGGGGCCCTTCCCCCAAGAACCTTCTGCCTTTTCCTTCCTGCCCTCCTTGTCTCAGGGCCCACAAAGGTCGCAGGTTGGAAGCCCAGTCAAAGCAAATGCCTCGTTTGCAGGTTTGGACCAGCATCAGGGTGTGTAGGAGAGGAATTATTCTCCTTACACTGATATTTCTTTCCCTCTCTTTCTCCTCCCTTCCCCTCTCTTTAAAAACAAACAGATAAAAATAAAGTAAAGTGTAAAATTAAAACATGCCGCAAGTCTTTAAAAGGTAAACCATTTTGTAATGCCCAGCTAGTCACAGGGAATTTACTGAATACCTTAGATTCAGCCATCCATACCCTGGGAATTTATCCCAAGACTGTAATTAAACAGCAATAAGTCTGGGGGAAAAGCAATAAATATGTAAATGTTTACCAGAGAATTATCTTCATCCAACTAACAAAAATAACAAAAAACTTTAACCTAGAAACCACCTCATTAAGGAATCTGGTGTGCCAATATGACCTTGGACAATTGCTAGATAAGTAATCACTCAAAAAGAATTCCATTTTGACGCACAGCTTGTTGGGGGGAGGGGGGTCATAGTGCACCCCCCTCCCCCTGCCTCCTGTTCCGTCGGGACAAACGAGATCCCCCCACACACCATCCCAATACACAGGGACGATCTCTTTCCACAGCTGTGTTCTAACTACTCTTTCCATTAACACCATGCTGTGAACATCCGCGCACACACTAAATCCATGCCAGCCTGATCTTTAATGTGTGCAGAGTGATCATTTATTTGCAGGTATCAACATTTTTTTATTAACCCATTACTAGTAGCTATTAAATTACTTTAGGTTCATACAATTCAAGGTCAATTTTTTTTTTTTTTTTTTAATACCGACATCTCTTCCCAGTTGTGCCATGTGCGCTACGGTGCTGGGGGCAAGAAAAACCCGTTAATGGACAGCCCCTCCCCTGCCGGAGCCACGACCGGGCACCGCCAGTCCCCGACCCGCTTCCCGAGCCCGCTACCGCCGCCGACACCCCCACAACCGCGGGAGGACGCTCCGCGGGGAAAAACTGCCCATGCACGTAATGCCCCTGGACTGTACGCTTTGAAGACCCATCGTTAAACACAATTTATTTGTTGTATTTCAATTACAGTTTATTTTTGCCTTGACCCGTGTAGCTCGGCGAGTTGGGCACTGGCCCCCAAAGCGAAGGGTCCCTGGTCGGATCCCCGGTCAGGGCGCGGGGCGGGGCTGCGGGCCGGTCCCGGGTTGGGGCGGACGAGAGGCAGAGAGGGTCGACGGTTCTCTCTCATACCCATGTTCCTCTCCCGCTCTCTCCCTCCCCCTCTCAGAATAGATAAATAAAATCCTTTTAAAATTAAATTTTATTTTAAGTAACATTTATTAGATTTTATTTAAAATACATTTTAGTTTAACGGAATACCACAAAAACTGCAGTCCAACTCTAAGTACAGTGTAAGAGAAACACAGAAGTGCGGAACCGGCAGCTCAGGGGGGCCCTGTCTGCTGTGGCCGCTGACCCGGCTGCGGCTCAGGACCCGGGGCCCCAGGCCGCGCGGAGCGGAGGCGGGTCGCTCCCGCGCTGCCTCTTGCCGGGCAGCGGGCAGCGGGCAGCGGGCAGCGGGCAGCGAGAGCTGTGCCTGGAGCCGGCTCTGGCCCTGGAGTTGGCGCTCCCTCTGGAGGAGTTTCTTGATCTTCCTTGGAACTGGTTCCGTAAAGTGAAAAAGGGAACATAGTACCACCACGAGTGCCTCTAATGTGCCATGGGGGTAGTGACCTCAGCTGACCCTTCGCTTCGGCCTAACCCCAGCCTCTAAAGGCTGTTCTCTGTGTGCCCAGCCCCGTCTGCTCCTCACACGCCCACGTCGCCCACCCTGAGTGCCCTCCCCCTCTGTCTCTGCCTCCGTGGGTTCGAAGTGCCCCGCCTCCGGAGGTAGAAGCCGCGGGGTGCTCCAGCTGTGGGCCTGGAGAGTGGGGCTCTAAGTGGGTCAACGGCAGCATCAGGCAGGAAAACTCTGGGGACTGGAAAAGTCCCCAGGGTACTGGCCCAGCCAGGTACCCAGGATGGGGGCGGCGGCCCTGGGGAGAGGCCCGAGGAGCTTCCTGAGGCTCCGCCCCTCCTTCCACACTGTCCCCTCAGAGGATGCCCATGGAGTGGGGGACCTGCGCCTCCTGCTCCCGGCCATCGGCCATCGAGAGCCAGTCCTACTCCTCGCCCAGCCCCCTCCCGTCTGGCAGTCCCGGCAGGCACACCGCCACCCGGAGGGGCTGGCAGGAGCCTTTGTCACCGAGAGCTCTGGGTCAATGGTGTGACCACCTGTGCCCTTCTTCAGGGAAGCCTGGCATGCGCTGCCAGTGTCCCTGCCCTCCTCCCACTGGAATGTCAGCTCCGGGAGGGCAGGGGGGGTGGCGTCTGCCCTATTCATTGCACTCAACTTTGGGCCCTCGTAACACCTGAACCCTTAACTCCTGCACCTGCGTGCTCCTAATTCACTAGACACCCTGTGTGCTGCTTCTGCCCCCGCTGGCGCTCAACTCCCAAGGGCGGGGAGCCCCAGCCAAGCATCCGCTGTTGGGGTTCTGGCGTGGTAGGGAGCAGGGTGCTCCCCACACCTCCAGCCCCAGGTCCCGGGGTGGGGGGGTGCATGCAGGGCTGGGATGGGGAGACGATGGGGGATGGATTCTCTTAGGGGCGACTCTGTCCACTGGTCTCCCCAGCGCTCTCCCACGCCCCCCAGTTCCGCAGGCAGGGCTCGTGTCGTCTCCTTCCCTTTTGTCCAGGTAAAGCCCTCAGACCTCTGCCCTCCTGCAGAAATCCCACGGTGGTGGGAGGCAGGCTCCTGCCAGCACCTCCAGTTCACAGTCCCCCCTCGCTCCGATCCGAAGCCCGCTCACTTTTCAGCTGCTCCACAGGTCCGCCGTCCGCTTCGACAAACGGGAAGAGGCAGGCCTGCCTGGAGGAGGCCAGGAGGACGTCACATCGACTGTCCTGTGGCCTCTACCTGCCTGTGAAGTGCAGTGTGACGGCCTCACTCCCGCCGAGAAGGAGTGAGCAGGGCGTCGTCGCTCTGTGCGCTGGAGGAGGGTCGGTGCCTAGACAGCTGCCTGCCCCTGGTGGGGCTTCCAATGCATTTGCTGAACGCATGAGTCCCAGCCAGCCCCGTGGCAGTTACCTCAGTTAGCCGGGGCCCCCCTGCTTGGCCGGGGGGGTTCCGCTCTGTCTTCACCCAGGACAGGGTGGCCGAATGGAATCTCCCGTCTCCTTTTCAGAAGAGAAAACAGCTCAGCTCAGCCCAAGGCCCTGGTAGAGGGATGAGGCAGGAAGTTCGACATGAGGAAGAGAAAATGACCAGTTAGCACAACCACAGCCTCTCCCGCAGACCTCTCCGATGGCCAGGCACCCTGAGAGCACTTCACGGGGAGGACCC